TGAAGAAGAACTGACACCTCCGAACTGTGGGAATGAAGAACATGGCACATACCATGGACAAACACATGAACAAACAAATCCTTCTTAGATGTACAGTCCTTAGAAGTGAGGAAGGTCTTGGGTACCTTGTACATGTTTTATAAGGAAGGAAGACTTGCTAAAGTAGAGGGTTAGTGAGAAAGATGAAAACTCTCCGTGAGATGGACTACCTGACCAGAGGCTCTAACAATGTGCTCTATCAGAGTACAGCCTATCACATCTTCTCAGGATGCACAGTGTTCTGTTCTGTTGTCCCCAGGACTGCTCTGAACTAAAACCAACATGATGGTACCTAACAGCAGTCTGATACACATTATTTTCAGAGCTGAAACATACTCACTTACTCAGAACTCCACAGCACTGTACACAAGTACGACGTAGAGATCTCGCTGGCCAGTGTGTCCTGAGGGTTGTTACAGGGTCAGAGTGTGAGAGGTGAAATCATCACACGGGTTGGAAGTTAGCTCAAAGCTATACATTTTATAAATGAAGCAGAAGGTCAGGCCAGGGAAATGTCTTAACAGCCACACTACTACCATGTATCAGAATCTCAGGAAGAATCTGCCCAAGCTGCCACATTCGCATCTTTCAGAAATCCTCTGAGGCAGAATCTGTCACATTTGCATTTTCAGGGAATCCTCTAAGGCAGAGTCTGACCAGACGGCCAGATTTGCATCTTGAAGGAATCCTCTAAGGCTTAGTCCACTCAGGCAGTCACATTCACATCTTCCAGAAATCTTCTGCTCAGGCCACCACATTTGCATCTTCTGTGAATTCTCTAAGGCTGAGGTTCTCAAAGCATGGTCCTAGAGCAGCACCAACACTCCCTGCCCCAGGAATTCTGAGCTTTCCCAAACCTGGTGAGTTAAGACTTGGGGAGCAGGAGCTGCACTGTGCATGTGAACACACCTCCAGCAACTTACACTCACTTTGGGGCAAGGACCAGCACTCTAAAAGGCATTTTTTTAATGTATTTATTACTTTTGTGTGTGTGTTTGCTGTCAAATTGGATCTCACTGGTACAAGAAGAGATTGCCCCTCCTTTTTCAGCAGAGCATCTGCTGGATTTGAACCACGTACCTCTGGGAATGCAGTGCAGCCTCTTGCCAATAGGCCAACAGAGCTCACCAGGGCTCCCTTCTAAAAGGCATTTTAACCAAGTCTGCTTTTGGCAAACTTACAGGCTCCTGGGTGAACAAGTTCCCTGTGGAAATGACTCACAACCACAACTTTCGTTTGAATGAGCGTGAGGTGGTCAAGGTGCCCATGATGCAGACCAAGGGGACCTTTCTGGCAGCGACTGATCAGGAGCTGGACTGTGAGGTCCTCCAGCTGGAGTATGTGGGCGGCATCAGCATGCTCATTGTGGTCCCCCATAAGCTGTCAGGCATGAAGACCCTTGAAGCACAGCTGGTGCCCCAGGTGGTGGAGCGGTGGCAGAAGAGCATGACAAACAGGTACTGTGGGCGGGTATGTAACAACTCATCTCCAGAAGGGGTGGGTCAAGGAGGAGGAGAGATGAGGAGGGGGAGGAAGACTGGTGGTTTCTCAGTTCAGCCCAAATGTCTTTCTTGGTAAGAGATGATCACATAGGATTTCTGAAAAACACATCTGTTCTCTATAATGGCAGTTTCAGGTGACCTGGAACCTCTTTTGAGATAATCCTAGCTCCACCACTTGTTTGTGTCCCAAGCAACAGCTTCATCTAGGGCTGCTGTGAGAAGAAACGGCCTGGGTGTCACTCATATTGCTAGGAACTTGTTGTTAGGTGCCACTGAGTTGAGTACGACTCACAGTGACCCCATGACAAATGACCTGAACCCTGTCCTGTCCTGCCCCATCCTCATACTTGCTGACACACAAGAGCCCACTGCAGCAGTCACCTTGTCAATCCACCTGGTTGAGGTTTTCCTCTCCTTCACTGATTTTCCACCCTTCCCAGCATCATGTCCCTCTCCAAGGAATGTAGCATCATGCCCCAAGTATGTGAGGCAAAGCATCATCATTCCAGCCTCACAAGAGCTGTACCCTCTCCAAGACATATCTGTTTGTTCTCTTGGCCGTCCATGGGATGTTCAGTGCTCTTCTCCAACACCATAGCTCAAAGGCATCAATTCTTTTCCTGTCATCCTTTTTCATTGTCTAGCTCTCAGATGCCAGGAACTAGCTGGCATTTATCAAGCACTAATTCCCCTACTCCCCTGCCCAACAAGTCCACTGAAGAAAGGAATCACATTTTTTCCCTCTATTATTTCTTATTCCATAGTTAAAACTGCAGCTTTACAAAAACTTATCTGAACTAAGTCCAAGAGTGGTATAAATGGTCTGTGCTAACTTGAAAAGCTGGCGGTTTGAATGCACTTGGTGGTGCCCAGCCGAGCACACAGCCACTGGAAACCCTGTGGGGCACAGTTTCACTCTGGTCACACAGACCTGCCATTATTGGAATCGACTCAGTGGCAACAGGCTTGGTTTTGGTTGTTCCTGGGTCATGGCAGGAGGAAGAAAGAGGTCACCTTTCTGTGTCACCGGACACTGGCTGTTGCTAGCTGCTACGAAGTTGGTTCTGAGTCTTGATGACCATGTGTGTGAGGGGATTGAAGAGACCAAGTGTTTCCAAGGTTGGGACTCATGAGCAGCAGTTCTTCAGATCCACCTTTCCAGGTATCTCTGGGTGTGTTTGACCAACAACCTCCAAGCCAGTCATCAAGTACAAGCAATCTGCTCCACCTGGGGCCTCCCTGTACTGGCCTGGCTCACATTAAAAACAACAAGTGCTCTGGGCTCTTCACAAGACAAGAACACAAAGGCTTGCAACAGGACTGAAACGTAGGTTCCTAGCAGAAGCTCTAGATTCAGGAGATTAATCAGCAAGCCCTGTAGAGTCTCCCTTGAAAAGGTCACCCTGTAATTGCCTGTGTTTCCCAATCTCACTGCCCCACGGCCATAGCCTTGATCCACAAGAAGTGTAATCAGTCTGCCCCTTCTCTCAGTTAGCCCTGTACCTCAGACACAAGATCCCTGTCCAAGATCACTCAGCAGCTGGCTCCTACTAGGTTCAAGAACTCAGGCCTCCCCAGGAGGAGACCCTTTTAGGTTACCACACAGAAAACAAGCTTCCACTCTTACTCCTCCAAAGCTGGTAGAGAGCTCTGACACTATGGTTGTTGGTGTCAATTTGGTGGTGACTGAGCTGAGGCTGATACAGAGCACTGAGCATGGCGTGGGTATGACTTGGACCTTAATTAACAAAACAAGAGATGCCTGCAACTAGCAAGTCAAATAAGAGAATCCTTTCTAGCACTTCAAACCATAAACCGTATAAACCAGGAGAAGTTTTGCTGCTGGCCTTGCAGACAGGAAGTGAATGACACAGCACACAGGGATAACCACACGACAGTCACGTGTCTCAATGTTACAGATATGAACTTACAAAAGGACAGTCCTGCTGAAGTCCTCAGCCGACAGCACTGGTTAAAGGTCTTACCAAATGCTATGTCCACTCTGGGATAAATGCGACTCAGAGCTTAGGGGTCGAGGGGGAGTGTGGTGACTGTGGACATTTAAAGACAAAAGCATAGTTCTCTTATAACCTGGGAAACTTCCTGTGGCTGACAGCATTTGGCATTTTTCTTCTTGTATTCCAGAACTAGAGAAGTGCTTCTGCCAAAATTCAAGCTAGAGAAGAATTATAATCTGGTAGCAGCTCTCAGGACAATGGGGATCACAGCACTGTTTGACAAAAACAGCAACACGTCGGGGATCGCCCAGGAAAAGATTGTCATTGACCTGGTAAGGCTCTCTGGCTCCTGCCTCCCTACCCAAGGCCTGGTCAGCTCCCATGCACACCTGCTCCTAGCCCGACAGTGCACAGGGAAGCTGGAGAGGTGCTGCCCCTTGGAGTATGGTCGACACACAGTCTTTCCTGCATGTGGGAACACATTTAGGTCCATAAGGGGCAGCTCGTGGAGGTCAATTCATGGAAGCAAAGAGGAGTAGCCATGAATCAGATCTGGGCCTGGTGACATGAAAAAGAGAAGACACATACACACCAGGCTTCCTACACATGGACGTGTGCCCCAGACAGAGGACACACCGGGCTCCCTGCACGTGGACGTGCGCCCCAGAGAGAGGACACACCGGGCTCCCTACACGTGGACGTGCGCCCCAGAGAGAGGACACACCAGGCTCCCTACATGTGGACGTGCGGCCCAGACAGAGGACACACCGGGCTCCCTACACATGGACGTGTGCCCTAGACATAGAGGTCACACCAGGCTTCCTACACAGGGATGTGCACCCCAGACAGAGAGGACACACCAGGCTTCCCACACGTGGACGTGTGCCCCAGACAGAGGACGCACCACGCTCCCTACATGACATGCGCCCTAGACAGAGAGGTCACATCTGGCTCCTTATCCATGGACGTGCGCCCCAGAGAGAGGGAGGTCAGACCAGGCTTCCTACACATGGACATGTGTCCTAGACAGAGAGGACACACCAGGCTCCTTACCCATGGATGTGCGCCCCAGAGAGAGGGAGGTCAGACCAGGCCTCCCTATACATGGACGTGTGTCCGAGAGAGAGGACACATTTGGCCCCCTACTTATGGACATACACCCCAGATAAGGAATGAGTTGGGGACTAGGTCCCTACCCATGCCATGTGTGTTCCAAATGATGGGATTAGGGGGTGAGTCTCTTGTCCTAGCCCCACAGGCCTCTTGCTCTACGTGCACTTTGAAGAGTGAATATGATTCTTGAGTTTAAAGACAAAAAAATTTTCCTGTGCAGCAGGACGTCTAAGCATGATCAGCACACAGGGTCGGCAATCTCAGACTTTCTCAAGTGTGTGCATCCTGTCCTGTAGTGAGTTTGGCTTTACTTGTAGTCTTCAGATTCCTTCCCTGAATGAGGGTCTCTGTAGCCTGGGCATCAGCCTATGAAGTCTGAGACCTCTCCACTCTGTCCACAACAGTTCAAGCACCAAGGCACCATCATGGTGAACGAGGAGGGCACCCAGGCAGCCGCCGTGACCACCGTGGGCTTTATGCCGCTGTCTACACAAGTCCGTTTCACCGTTGACCGTCCCTTCCTGTTCCTGGTTTACGAGCACCGCACTAGTTGTCTGCTCTTCCTGGGCAGGGTCACCAACCCCATCAAGTCCTAAAGGTGGCACTCTGAGTATGCCGTGATGAGGTGTTCACTCAATCACAACAACAGGCATGCGTGGCATTGTGATGTGCAGGATTCAAACTATCAATCCTAAATCGAGGCAGCATGAGGGAGGCCATGCTACAGCTCTTGAGTAGCTTGTGAGAATCAATGCTGCACTATCAACAGTGCTATGAATTGACAGAAGTTAATGGAGACAGGCGTTACCTAGAGGATCCACAGAGCTTTCAGAACACAGACCTGGCACCTCCTACCCTGGTGGCCCCTGATCTTCAGCCAGGGCTCCCATCTGAACACAAACCCCAGAACTGAAGTGAAGGATGTAATTCTCAGTTCCAGCAAGGATGGCAGGCAGTCACCACCATCTCAGATGCACAGCAGGGAAAATCTGTGGCACGTTCTATGCACATGAGAGATCTGGCCTTAGTGCCCTGGAGGCTGATGTTCCACAGTGATGCTGCCATCTGTGCCTTTTCCTGTCACCTCACTGCTGCCCAGAGGACAGTGTATATACACAGCTCTGTTGACCCCTTAAGAGAGAAATAAACAGAACCACTATTACCATGTATCTGTCACAATTTTCCCTAATTTTGAAGCACAATTAATAACAAAGGTCAAGTTAAAAATAGCTGGAATATGTAGAAAACTACTGAGGTTGGCAAAAATTCACTTGTATCCCTCTACACACCAACACACTCCAGGCAAGCTTCCAATACTGAGTGGCCAACATTCTTGAAGCGCTTAGGCTGGTTCACCTGAGGGCAGAGTCCAGCACTTGGTGTGGACACTTGGGGTTCTAGAAGTGCTGCACTCTGTATGGGCTCACCCACCTCAGCTATATTCCTCAGACACAGGAACGGAGTGAATGTGAGTATGACACCCTGGTGAGATGGGCTGAGATTAGGCAGGTGCCATCTGATGGATGTGCCAGTGTCCTTTCCTCTCAGGGCTGGATAAATGTGACCATAATCCAGGGGCGCAACATGTATGCTGTGAAGGGCTGACTCAAGAGTGACAGTGACAGTTCCCCATGAGCTGTGTGCGACTATGTGAGTCTGACCCTCAACTCTTTAGGGGGCTCTCTCCATCCCACATGTGAGGAAGGCAGGGCTTGGAAAGGCTCAACAATCTCCTCGGAGCTGAGGCAGTGACTGAGGGCTGGGACTGAAGGCAGGATAGCTTGGCCTCAGCCCCTATGTCACTGGCCAGGGAATGATCTGGTGGCTGACATCAGAGCTAGCAGAAAGAGCACCTGCAACTGGACCAGGAGGCCACCTCAGCATGAGTTACCTCATCAAGGCCCCTGATCCAGTACGTGGCAGGGCCTGAAGTCAAGCCAGGATGGTGATGCCCTGGAGCACACCTCTGAACCATCTCCCCTCTTCCTTTACCACGTGCCCTGGCTTTTGCCCTTAGGCCCTACTGAGAGCTGATTGGGACAGGCCAATATCAAAGCCTTCTCTGCCACACTTTCCCCACTGCTGGGGGAGACCTGATGTTGCTAGCATCCTGCCCCCTGAACAGCAAGAATGCTGTTCTTGGCTGGTGCATGTCTTGTATTTCCAAACATATTCCTGTCTTAACTGCTGGTTCCTCCTCTTCGTACCATTCCTCAATGCGGTTATCTCAAAACTCCTCCCACTTTAGCCCTCTGCCAAGCCTGTTCCACTCAGAAAAGCCAGTCATTTCTACTGTCTCTATGCCCATCCATGTGGATCCAGGGTAGGCTTCATCAAGTTCCAGGACTGGCTAGAAGCAGTCCATTTCCAGTTTTCCCCCCTTCATCTTCATCCACTTGAAATGTCCTTTGTGCCTCTCTTATAGAAATACCCTGTCCATTTTCCAAGGCAGTTAGGACAGTGATAAAAAATTAGGGAGTTCAGTGGCCTACTGGTAAGGAGCTGTACTGCCATTCCAAAGACATGCGATTTGAATCCACCAGCTGCTACTCCACTGAGAAAGATGGGCAATCTCCTTCTGTGTGATTAAACTGCCTCTGCAAACCCATTGGAGGGTCAGCTATGGGTTAGTTCTGACTTGATGGCACACAACAACAACAGAACAGTGAAGAGTGCACATTCTGAGCTTGGGTTCTGCTGCCTTGCTTTAAGTCCTGGCTCCAACACTTCTGCCACACTGGAAATGGTTTGATCTCGGTTTCCTCATCTATAAAATGGGACTGATAACAGCATCTTCACCTCAGAGTTATTAAAAGGATTCTAGAGGTCATGTCTAGTGCACAGCAAGAGCTGAAAGGGTTTCTTGTTATTGTCTACATTTAGAGAGCATCTAATTCAGAAGGGGGAACTTCCCACTTAGCTTCCTGAAACCAAATACAAAACCCTGGGAATATGCACATTTTGATGAAAAGCGAGAGAGCACAGCTTTCTTTCTTTTTTTTTTAAATTTTATTTTTATTATTTTGTGTGTGTGTACCGTCAAATCAGATCTGACTGGTACAGGAGGAGATTTTCCCTCCTTCTCCAGCAGAGCATCTGGTGGATTCGAACCGCGTACTTCTAGGATTTCAGTGCATCTTCTTGCCACTAGGCCACCAGAGCTTGCCGAGAGCACAGCTTTCAAAAAGGGCTTCAAACATAGCAGTCTACACCCTCACTTCATGGCATCAAGGAAGTAAGTTTAAAAGCGGCAAAAGGCATATTTCACTCAATCACTGCTTTCAGACAGTAGAGAAGCTAGATAGACATCTAGCATCACACATGCTCCAAAAGGTTTAAAATGTTGCTAGATACCAATAGAAGCAATTTTTTCAACATTTCTGAAAAAGGATTATCCTTAAAGCTAAAGGACAAAGAGCCTGAAGTCTGAGCATGGAATCAGGCCCATCCTGATTCAGTACTTCGCCAGAGTAATTCAACCCACTCTTGAAAAAAAAAAAATCCAAAACACACTACCTACATCTTAAAAGCAAAATGCAAAGGAAAATGATGCTTCTCCATAAAGTGCAAGGGGTAAATTACAAGGCAAATGCACAGAGGTCACATGCTCTGGGCTCCTTATTGAGCAATCAAGTCAATATTTGTTACCTCCCTCAAAATATAACCATTAACTTCTGTTAGTACAATATTCAGTGTGTCTGTGTCAAAGATCACAGTGGGGGAGGAAACATGAGGGTTTTGAGTGAGTGTGCTGACCTGTCACACACAGCAGGCTGACAACAGTCACACTCACAGCAGCTGGCACCATTCTGTGCCCTAGGACATACACTAGGCATCAGCCCATCGCTGTAAGAAAGCCTGCAGCGGAGCAGGTTCAGAAGGCGAAGTCACTCACCCATGGGTCCCACAGCAGACCCAGGATGCCCAGCATGGCCTGGGCAGCTCCAAGAGGTCTGACTTCAATGTACCAGTCTGACACATGGACAAGGCCCTTGCAGATTTCCGCTGTTTCTATTACCCTTGTCATCAGAACAGGGTGAAGGTGTTCATAGATGCTAGAACACACTGATTTGGCGTCACTGAAAACACCAGCCCTCACAGTCACAAAGCTAGTACTAGTACCAGCCTCTTCCCCTCCACAAGGTAGAACTGCTCAGCAGGCCCCAGAGAGTGCTGGGGACCCCACACTCCTCATCTTTCTCTCTAGGTTTCTTCTCATACCATGACACTTCTAAAACACAACTTGTCAAGAGTCATGTTAAAGTTAAAAAAGCTTTTAAAAAAATTAATCAATGGAGGTTTTAGATGAAAAATACCCTTAAAGACGGGAGCTATACTGCCTCTAAAAACTTGCTGGTGGGTCAGCTATATGTTTCAGTTCTGACTCTATAGTACATGACAACAAAAATACCTTTATAGAGAGAATTCCTACAGAGTTCTAGTGGCTTTATACTGCAGAAGCTGTACTGCAATCCCGAATCCACCAGCCACTCTGTGGGAAAAGGATGGGCAATCTCCTCCCATGTGATTTATTGCCTCTGAGAACCCACTGGAGGGTCAGCAAATGTGTTGGTTCTGACTCCATGGCACATAACAAGAAAACCAGAAAACCTCAAACTAGTCAAAGGCTGAGGAAGTACTCATGGTTATAGACACAGAGGTGGCACATCCCAGGAGATGCAGAGGCCCTGAGGCCTGCAGCCCCATTCTATCACACACTCCATCTTCTTTTCTCAAGGCACACATGTGGCTCCCAGACACCCATAAAGACTACAGTGGTCTTGAACTTGTCTTCCTGCTCTAACCATAATACTAGGGGGAAAAGAGGGAGTAAAGGAGCACAGATAGAAGTGACAATTTATTATTAAAGAAAACTAATAATAAACCTTGGAGGCTAGGATTTTGAAGCTCCATCTCACATACTGTGGCACGTGGTCAGGTGAGACCAGACCTTGGAGAAGGACATCATGCTTGGAAGGGTGGAAGGAAGGGCAGGAGAGGAAGACCCTGGATGAGATGGGTTGATACAGTAACTGGGGCAATGGGAGGTGTCGGGAGTCAATGAGACTGGCTCAGGACAGGGCAGGCTTCAGAGCTGTTATACATATGATCCCTATGAGTCACAGGTGACTCAATGGCACATAACAACAATAATGAAACAGCTGAAATGGGACACAGATGTCAATGCTGAAGACTTGAACCAGGGGTGATGGGTGTGAAGGAACTGGGTAGCAAGAATAAGATGTGAAAGCGGAAATTACTGATTTAGAGGCTGACATCTAGTTAGAGCTCAGAGGGCCTAGACCTGGGACAGGGAGCAAATGGAAAATGGAATAAACAGCTGGGCCAGTTGGACAAGATAGAACTGGACAAGATGGAGTACTGCTCAGCAGCGGCAGGGGGCTGAGCAGCACTGAGCGCCATGGTGGACAGGCCTCTGCAAGCTCACCCAGTACACAGCACATCAGCTCCTCCCTCAGGAGACCGAGGGGTGCAGGTAAATGCTCAAACCCCGACAGGAAGTTCACCAGTCTCATGTCATCCCACCAGAGTGGGTAGGAGCAGGAACCTCACAGGAAAGAGACATGGTGGAAACTGGAGTTGAGGCAGCCCAGGGGCCAAGAGCGGGCAGCCCTTAGGGAGGGGATGGAGAGAGGCAGGATGATTAAAGCCAGACTACATCCTCAGGACTGCCACAGCTGACCATATTCTTCCCCAAGGAATCTGTGTGCATCATCGGCCATGTTGACAACGTACGCAGTCTCGGCGGTGTGAGGTGATCCAGTGCATGAATACTTACCACTGCGATAACAGGAATGAGCACGCCCAAGTTTCCCGCGCTGCTTGAGGCCTGGAAAAGGACAGCCTGTGTCAGCAAGAAGCTCAGACCAACGTCAAAGACTAGCAAGATAAATAAACGAGGCTCCTTTTGCACAATTAAATACCAGAGAGTTGCTGAAAAGACAGTGTGCAAACAATGCTTAGTCACTTCACAGGGTACCTGCAGATGTGACAGAAAGAAGTTAGTCACTAAAGGACAAATACAACATAAGGCAACTACTCAACAAGCTAAAGAGAGGTTTACACACAGAAGGAATAATTCTTGGATGAGATGGGAATTGGGGGAGTAAAAAACCAGATAATAAAATACAAAGTCATTGCTCTGAGTTGGAACTAATAGCCATTGCCCACTGGGTTTCTGAGGACAGCACAGGAAGAAACCGCCCCTCTTTCTCCTGGGGAGATTTGAACCATCAGAGGAACAAACCTTTGGGTTAGCGGGGCAACTCCCTATGGGCTAGGCTACCAGAGCTCCCCAAAGAGATAACAGAAGGAAGACGAGTTAAAGGAAAGGCAGTATACACCAAGGGGTGATTATCACAGTGTCACAAAGTACAGGGAAGATGCAGAGAGGTACATAAGAAACAAAGAGCAGTAATACACAGGTAGACAGGCCAGAGAGACAGACATAGGCAGGTGTAAGAAACTACATCCATAAGCACATACAGCTTGGTGGGTGACACTTCCACATTTACATCAGTCTGTGCTGCAACACATCCGTCAAACAAGTGCGATGCTTTATAAGCTTCTTAATTATAAACACCCTAAGGGAGTGAGGTGCTGGCTTGGGACTATGGTCTCAGGGGACATCAAGATCAACTGACACAGCACAGGCCACAAAGAGAACATTCAACACCCTACTTTGGTGAGCAGCAACTTGAGCCTTAAAAGCTTGAGAGCCACTCACTTTCTCAGGAGCAGCCACTGGTCTCTCCCTGTCTGGAACAAGGAAGGGAGGGGGAGGGGAGAAAAGGAACAAGGGGTGAAAAATTAGTCTTAAGGACTAATGGACCACGTGGACCTCAACTTTATGACCCTGAGACCAGAGAAACTTGATGGTGCCCATCTCTCACCACTGACCACAGTAGAAGGGATCACAGTAAAGAACCTGGACAGGCTGGAAGGGAATGTGGGGCAAAAGAAAAACAAAAAAAAACCACAACACAAAAAGGCCAGGTTTACTGCTCTGGAAGAAACTGTTGGAAACCCCAAGATTATGAACTGTAGTCACCCTTCCAATGTGGAACAAAACTTACACATGTGGCTCAACTTTCAACCAAACAATAAACAGGCCTGCAAAATGACCAATTACCAAGGAGCCACTTAGAAAAACCTATCACATAAGGTCAAAGGAGCAGCATTTACCTAAGGATAGAGCCCTGAAAGCCAGGAATGGGTAGGATAGGAGGAAAGGATATCAGAAATAATGGAAGGAAGAAGGAAAATTCCATTATGGAACTGTCATTTAGGTTATAAAACAAAATGTATGTGAATGGTTGGATGAAAAAGCAATTTACTTTATAAACTTACACTGAATCAGAGTAAAAAAGAAGATAAAGTTGATGAATCAAATAAACAAGAAAGGAAAAAGAAAATGCCTTTAGGAATTAGGATTCAGAAGGGTAAGCTAAGATAGAAACCCCCATACGTAAAATACATACATAAACACATAAACAATGTAGGGGAAAGGTTCAAATGTTAACATTGGTTATATTTGAGTAGAGAGATTACAGAATGATTTTCACTTGACAATTTTTATTTCCCTGTATCTTTTTTACAATAAACACATTCTTTCCAGTTAGGGAAAATTATAGGTTACTTAAAAGTAAATAATGTTTCCTGGGGATACAAACACTGGGTGAGTTTGCAACATGGCTAAGCCATGGCACATGTTGATCAGCCAGAGGCAGCACATTCAACCCATTACACGTGTCCAGTGACAGCACAGTGCACAGCGGCCAGCATCTGCAATGTGCCAAGTGCTTTAGAAGCACAGCACTCATTTATCTTAATCTGTAGGTGAGCAATAAGAGGCCCAAGTAGCTTGCTAGGGTCACTCAGCTGCTCAGTGACAGAGACCATTCCAATCAGTTCCCCAAGGAGGTCTTTCATGCTGAAGCCCAGCTTTACACCCAAGTTCACACCTATGCTCCTCCCCACTCCCACACCTTGGCCCATGAACAGGCCCAACACTGTACTCCAACCCCAAACTCTGGCCTATGCTTTCACTTCATGCACAGGGCCAGCACAGACCCAAGTGCATGCCCATGCTCACTTCAATGTTCATATTCCAGGCTTCTATCCAAGCTCAGGCTTATGTTTTGGACGACATTAAAACCCTAAGCTTGGGCCCAACATTGGCAACTACTTACCCATGTTGGGTTCACGGCCACATCTGACACCACAGTCTGGCATCCGGGCTCAGACCCCAGGTGGCATCTAAGTTCATCCTGGGCTCACATCCTGGGCTTGCCTCCCACACTCAGATGTGTTGCACCCTCATGCTTGCCCTCCTGCATACATCCTGTGCTCTGAGAGGGCAGAGCAGCAGTTTAACAAGCAAGTGCGTCCCCCTCTGGCTGGCAAACGGGAAGTATTTTCTTGGAAGGACGAGCATGCATAGCATGGGCCTGGTGGGTGGACAAAGGGTCCCTCACAAGGCACTATGGCTCAACTCTAGCCCAAGAATGACACACAGAAGCCTCATTCCTGACACTCAGTTAAGCATGTGGTGAGCCAAGCAGCTGGTAGCCAGGAGGAACCATTCTAGTACTGAGGGGAATTCCTGGGGAGAGAAGGAAAACGGTTTCCGACACACTCCCTACATAGGTGCAGCACAGTGCTCAGCTTTCCATACCAAAGGCACAAATCAGCTACAACTCCCTCCTCTCACAGGTGCCAGGCACGTAGCATGTTCTCAGGGGATCTGGAAGAGGAAGGCTGAGCCGGTGATTCTCAATCCAGCCACAGGTCTTAGGGTCCTTTTCTGCATCAGCCGATCCTTTGCTGGGCAGCTCCTGGCCAGTTTTCACTCAGCGACCAGCTTGGACTTGACCTCCTCAGAGGTCTCCTACTACCCTAAACCAAAGTGCCCTGGCATGGTCAAATCTCCTCTTCTGTCTCCTCCCACTATACCCTGCACTCACTTCTGGAACTCTACTATCTGCCACCTGCTGCTGGAAATGAAGTTTCACTGGAACACAGCAATAACTGCTTGCTACGCCTTGTTTGCGCCGCTTTTATGCTACCCTGGCAGATGGAGACTAAGTGCTCTATGATGCCTGAAAATTTGCAGCCTGGTCCTTTGGAGAGAAAGGACACTGAGCCCTGACTGAGAACGGTATCTGGTAAACAGTAAGTGACCTGAGAGAAGGGAAGGAGGGAAGCAGAAGGCGACAGAAGAGGAGGAATATGGAAACCAAGGAGAGGGGTAAATGCCCACGGGACCTGCTAATACGGAGGTGACGGGGAAGAAGGCTGTCTGTCCTTACCTCCTCCCTCCTCAGCCGCTCTCTTTAGAGGATCAAGACAGGATGTTCTGTCCATCCCTGCAGAGTGGCCTCCTTCAGACAGCCTAAATGGAGGTCAAACTTGGCCCTAGCCATTCCTCACCATTTGCTATGGATGAGGGATAAAGGAGACCATCTGGGCAGTGGTCACTGGGCTGCAGCCACATGCCCTCCCTAGGTGGGGTAGATGCCACCCACAAACCAGACACCATCTACAAGGGATTTTATTCCATAGCCCCTAGAAGCATTCCTCAGGGAGAAAGCTGCCACTCACCCCGATCTAAACCACCACACTTCACCTAGGGTGGTACCTCAGGTCAGGCCACCAGGTAGACAGATGTGAGAAACTCCTACCTTCAGGGCAGGGCCCTTCTCGCTGGCCCGCTCACTGGCTCGCTTCCCTTCCAGGCCCAGCTGCACGAACAGCTCCAGCAGGTTCATCAACAGCTCGTCCACAAGGTGCTCGTCCTGGATGTTGGCCGCAATGTTGGCTAGGGCATTGATGACTGCCAAGGAGCAGTGCCTACAGAGGGGGAACATCACATGGCAGAAAGCAACGGTGGCACCAGGGGCCCTCGACTCTACCCAACTCACACCCTTGCCCCTGCCTCCAAGGCTGGACCCCACTGAGGAGTAGGACAAGTTGGCATAAGCCCTAAGTCTGGCTCACAGTGCTGCCCTCTGTACACAAGGAACACCAGAGGTGATACGAACTCCATCTTTGTAAGAACAACAGCCTGCAAAGGAAGTGACATTGGAAATCTTCTCTGAGCTACAGTAGGACTCCAAAGGGACTTGTTTAGTTTCAGAAATCTACACACCTCAAGGCCTGCAACAGTGTCAGGGTGTTTTCCTCATGAATCCCAAAGTCGGCTACAACACAGACACACACAGACAAACAGGTTTCCAGAACTGCTTTGCTTTTCTTCCTTCAATTACACTGTCATCAGGGGTCACTGAGTCTGATCCCAATTATGGTGACCCCATGCAAAACATGGCCAGACTATTTGACCCACAGTGTTCTCCGTGACTAATTTCTTTTTCAGAAGCACAATGCCAGGCCTTTGTCCCTTATCTGTGTAAACCACTGAGATCTGCTCATTATCACAGCATCACGCAAGCAACAAGAGGCAAATGTGCTTGAGAGCTGGACAACAAATAAGGATGACAGGAAAAGAACTGATGCCTTTGAGCTGCGGTGCTGGAGAAGAGCATGGACTGCCAGAAGAACAGATGTTTTGGAGAAGGTGCAGCCAGAGTGCTCCTTGAAGGCAAAGATGAGAAGGTTCATCTCACATATTTTGGGCACATTGCTAAGAGAGGCTATTCCTTAGAAAGGGTCATCATGCTAGAAAGGTGGAAGGTCAGCAAAGGAGAGGGAGACCCCTAACAAGATGGACTGACATGGTGACAGCAACAATAGGGTCAAGTGTCAGAGACTGTGAGGATGGGATGGGAAAGGACAGGGTTCAGTTCTGTTGTTCACAGGGTTGTTGTAAGTTATATTCAACTCAACAGTCCTAACAGCAATGCAAGCATGGGTGGATGAGTAAGGGTGCTTAAGCATGAGGTATGCATTAGGCAGGGTCTTTTGTATGGAAGGCCATTGGACAACTACTGCTTTCCCTCAAATTATAAGTAGCCTAAATTCCTTGTCACCATCTGGAAAGCCAGCTGCTGGCTGATGATCAGGTTTGTCAGCACCCTCTCTGTCCTGGGCTGACCTGTGTACTAGGACATAGGACTAGGCTGTGACGCTGATACTGTCTTTTAGCCATAGATGCCAAGAGCTAGTCAGGTTATTCAGGCTCCTCTGGGGGGACCAGGGAGCAGTCAGAATACTGTCCACCCATTCACAACCCTGGGTGCACTGCTTGAGATTCTGAACCCCAGAATATACAGACAGTAAATCCCTCCTTCATAAGATTATAGCAGGGGCCAAATATTTGATGTGGCAATATTGGTCACCCATGGCAGACAGTGTTTGGTGGAGTTCCCCGATTAAAACAAGCTTGGAAGCAGGAGTGGCATCCACTTGCCTCTGGAAACCCTATGAACTTGGAGAAATGAAGGAAGTTATACAAGTGTTCAGGTCTTTCATTCAGAAGGTCGCTATGAGTAGCCTACAATTTGATGGCATTTAGCAACAACAAACAACACTCTTGAGCACAGTCAGGAGTACCTAGAAATCATGACGCGGATGGCAGCCACAGTATCAAGGCAGATCTCTGTCACCCACAGTAAGCAAACAGCCATAAATGCTTCTGTTGATGAGGACAAGGACACTTGCAGAGAAGCTCTGATTTGATGAGAGAAGATTTGATGAGAGAAGAACCTAGAGGTGAAGTTGGCCATGAATGGTGAGTGCACACATGGTGTGAGAACATGGAGACAGGACAAAAGCAAAGACCCAGAATGGGGCGATAGGCAAGGAGGTGCCAGAGCAATGGCTTCAAGGAAAAGAAACTCTGAGGGAAGATTCTGCCTGAGTGCTGGTTTCAGAGCAGAAATCAAGATGGAAAAAGCAGGAAGGGGTCAACTTGCCCTCCCAGGCCAGAGTGTAGCTGCACTGGTGGCTGGGCTCCTGGTGGGGTCAGAGAGAATGGATTAAATGAACAAGAGTGCTGAGAGCTAGGGAGCCTGGGGGCCGAGTTGGAAGAAGCTGTGCTGCAATCTCAGAGACAAGCAGTGTGACTCACCAGTAGCTCCATGGGAGAAGGATAAGCAATGGTTTGGTCCCAACTCGAAGGCACACAACAACACTGAGAACTAGTGTTTATTTAGTGCACCCTTGGTGCCAGGTGCTGTTTTCATATATGATATCATTCAGCTGCACAATCTAAGGCAGTATGTCGTGTGATGGAGGAAGACAGGGAGGCTGCTTAGTCACAGCAGAATTTAGAGACTGCACTTGACCCACCAACAGCACAGACTTGGAGGATTAGGAGGAAGTGTCACAAAGAGGAAGACTGGGTTTCCACAGCTGGAAAGTGAGGCACCTGGGTGATAAATAATACAATGTCACCAAAAGGGATAGGGCCTCTCCTGCCTTCCCATGTCCCTCAGGTCCAGCGATCTCTTTCAGACATGAATAAACACATCCCTGTTCTCAAGACATGCCAGCTAAAGGAAAGAAACAACCTGCCATGGGAGACAAGTCAGGATTCATAAAAGTACAAAATATTAAAGTATATAAAATGCCTTCCTCTTTGGTTCATTAATTTCAACTTCTGGTATTTCGTCCTAAAGAAAGCATATAGATTTCTACGAGCATGCAGTTTTTACAGCAGTTCAATACAGCAACTTAACAGCAGTTACTATTGTTAGGTGCCATCAAGTATGACTCATACTAATCCTACGAACAACAGATTTGATCCTTGTCCTGTCCTGTGCCAATTTCACAATCTCTGACACTCAATACCATTGCTGCAGTCACTGTGTCAATCTATCTGGTTGAGAATCTTCCTCTCTTTCTTCGTCCCCCACCGTTCCAAGCTCGATGTCCCTTTCCAAGGAATAGCCACCTCTTGTAGCAACATGTCCAAAGTAGGGAGATGAAGCTTCATCATCCTTGTCCTCCAGGAGAACTCTGTTCACTTGTCTGTCAGTCTGCTGTACTGAGGTAACTTATGGGTGCTGTGATGCTAAAGGCTATGCCACCAGCATGTCAAATATCAGAGGGGTTATGCATAGTGGACAGGCTTTAGTAGAGCTCTCAGATTAAGGAAGACTAGAAAACAGTATGCTTCTGAAAACCCTATGAAAATTAACAGCAGAACAACTGGAAGATGAGTTGAGCTCCAATCTTAGGGACTGACTAGATAAACCACAGAGCTGTGACACGGGAACCCTGAGGTCACCCAAGGTGATGTCCAAGGCCAAGTGGATGCTGAGTACACACAGAGAGGTGGGCATGGCAAAATGTGCACAAGGAGCACATGACTGTTTCTGCTCCCTGTTCCTATGGGCAAAGAGTGCTAAAATTTATTTCAGAGACAAATTCCTTAATCCCCTCTTTTCAGAGAAAGCTAAATGCCATTGTGATGGAGAGTGAGAAGAGGCTCAGTAGAGTTACCTGTAGCCATGATCTTTATAGTCCTTCGTGGCTGAGTACACCACAGAGCTGGCCTTCACACTGATCTGCTGGAAGAGATTCCACACCTCCTGATAGATGTATTGCTGGAATGAAACAAGGGAGTCTGTGACCAAGCCTGCCCATAGCACAGAAGCACTGCCAGGGACACCGGAAGGGCTCTCCCATTCATTAATCAGATGGGAACCCCTTAGGGTCACAGAGCATCAGGTCCTAAAAGGTTTTCTAAAGCTTTAAGTAAGCATCACCTAAATAGCTAAAAGATACTGATGGAGATGGAGAGACAATCTCCTCCTGTACCAGTCAGATCCGATTTGACAGTACACACACAGAAAATTTAAAATATACACATACACACATAAAGAAAGCTAAATGATAGCTTAAACACCATTAAAATTATTAACAATGATGGTCAGTCCAGCACCTTTTAATCAGCATTTAGGGGCCCATGTACAGCACTCTCTTCCATTTTAAAAGTCGCACAGCCCATTGGTAGGATTACTGTGCATGCTTCATCCAATCACAGGCTAATGAAGTTGGTATTTGCACATTTCGTGTAACACAGGCATTTAACGAGGGGTGCACCTGGCAGAGGAAAGCTCTAGTCCTGGGTAGGGAGTGCCCTTACATTTCCAGTGATCACCAGACAACCCAGCTGGTCAATGATAAGCACGTCCAGAGGAGAGGGGGGCTGGCAGAACTTCTGCTGCAGGATCTGCAGAATGGGCTCCATGACCTTGGGTGTGTCCCTCAGGGCCACTGCAATGTGTCCCAGGGCCCGGATGGTATGGTCAGGAATCAGGTGAGCATCCCTACAGGAAGGAAGAATGGAAGCATCTAGGAGCGATTTACTGGTGCAGGACAGTGTAGACTCTCCCTGTAAAACCCCAGGGAGCCCCCAAACCTGTGGGCCAGGAAGGAGAACTAGCTGACCACAGACTTTAGGAGGCATCAGCCAGAAACTGACAGCCAGGGGTCTTTAAGAACCTGAACAAAAGGTCCTACTAGGCTAGAAGACAGAACTTAAATATTCCTAACTGGTGGTCTGAGACATAGCCTTGTCAATTCATGACTACCATTTCACACTCTGTGACAAGAGGGCTGCACTAGTGTGCCCCTTCCTATCACTATGTGAACTCTATCAAACTAATTAGCAAAGACTGAAACCACCCACCACTGACACCACATGTGGTTGATGATAAACCCCGCTCCACATGCCTGTGCTGTGTAAATGCTGGCTGCCTCCTTTACCTGGGTAGGATCAGGCAGAAGCCAACTGTTCTGTGTAGCCCTTCTGCTCTTCTCTCCATTTACCCAGGGCCACATCAGTGGGCTCCAATCCCCTCTCTATTTTCCCACAGCCCAGTACTGGCTCCTTTTCTCTAGCCCCCTCAACTAAGGGCTACCATCTCCCTCCCTATTTCTTTTTTTTTAAATTTAATTTTATTTTATTATTTTTGTGTGAGTATACCGTCAAATCAGATCTGACTGGTACAGGAGGAGATTGTCCCTCCTTCCTCGGCAGAGCATCTGGTGGCTTCGCTCCCTCCCTATTTCTATTCACCAGGAGCCAGGTCAGAGGATACTGGCCTACTATCTCATCTCATTCACCCAGGGCCAGGTTAGTGGTCACCAGGGCCACACTCTCTTCATCTTCATTCACTCGGAGTCACACCAGGGGGCGTCAATTTCTTTCTCTCATCTTATGCACCAGGGACAGGTCGGTAGGTAAAGTATCCACATTCTGTCATCCCCAGTTACGTGGGCCAGAGCAGCAGGTAAAGTCCCCTCTGTCTCATTTCCTTTCACCCAGTGCACATAGGACAACGTGCTCCAAGTGTGTGAGCCTAAGTTTCACCATCCTTGCCTCTAAGGAGCACTCTGGTTGCACTTCCTCCAGGGCAGATTTGTTTGTTCTTTCGGTGGTCCAAGATTATATTCTATAGTATCTTTTTCCTATCTACCTCTCCCACCCCGATTTACCAGGCAAGGTATGTTGTTAGCGTAAAAGTTGGCTTAATTTAGTCATTAGTGTTAGCCTCCTCTAGTCTCCAGCTACCTTAACTATAGATACACGGTCTTGTAAATCATCAACAGCTGTGGGACTAGGATAAGAGAAAAGTGCTTTTCACATTTGAGAGGCAAGATCTGAGGGAGACTGCAGCAGATCCTGTTGGGAAGACCCCGGTGATGGTGTTGGAGAAACTGTGGCAAGGTGTAAGGAGAAAAGCCCTGAGATAAAGGCCACAATTAAAGGTGTTTGCTGTTTGTGCCAGATGCTTGAGGGAAAAGATGACTTATAACTGCCCTGAGGCAAACCTTGCCGGATGATTTGGGTTTGATTGCTGAATGGAAACCAGAGACTGGACTAACTGAGGAACTGTGCCTTGGGACTTGGGCTAAAACCTGGACTTGTATTGGGGGATATTCTTTGCCTCTCCCACTCTCCAACTTCCTTACCTAATAAACCCCATTCCAATGAATAAACGAACGCTTGCTGCTGGTGTAGCTCTAGAGGGGCAATGTGGCTACAGGGTCTTTATCTGCTTTCTGCTGTGTGACCATGAGGGGTTGTGCTATTCTTACTCTGCTGGCCCTTTCAGAGAGATGGTCATGGACTTGGGCCTCTTTGTCCCATTTTCTCCTCTTTAGACACCAGGTTAAGGAGAAGCCAGTCCTTCTGTTTCTTACATCTGGTAATCTGGTGCAGTGACTCACAAACTCTAGGGGAAAGACTGTTCTGAATGTTGCAGGGAAAAAAAGACAGACATACAGGGTAAGGTCCAGGAGGGTCTGGGGCAGAACATCCATGTCCCTGGGGAAGGGGCCTCCCCTCCTGAGGGTGGATGCTGGCTTCTCAACGACTAACACTGCATTAAGCCTCTGTCTCCTCGTCTCCCAAGGCCTTCATAAATCTCCCCTCAGCACAGGATAGCTGGCGTCAGCATCCTGCAGCTTCAGCAGGTAGGGGCCTTGTGACTAGCTTAGGGCCCCACTCCTTGGCTTCAGGTATAGTCCAACTCTCAGGAACCTGAACCTAAGGTCAAGTTATTTCCTGAAGGGGGTTTCCTCATGGCCCCCAGACCTCTCCACACCCCATGCAAGCGTGCACCACAGGGCTTGACTGCAGGACATACTTGTCACTTTCCTGAGAGATGTAGAGCCGGTTGGACAGGCTGGACAGGAAGGCCTCTACAATGACAGGGTCCACTGTCAGGCCAGCTTTCAGGCACCTGAGGATACCACACAAAAGAGTACAATTGTCACTGATTAGCCACTGTTTCCCAGTTCTACAGTGTTTAAGGAACACTGAACATATTTCTAGAATGGAAGTCATTCCATAAGATTAATTCAAAGAACAGCACAGACACCAGTTATTTGATAAATGTCTCAATATGAAAGAGACAAATGAAAAACCTCAAATGCACTGGTGCCCAGCTGCCGATTCATGGTGACCCCACACGTCATAGAGTGAGACTGTCCCAGCGTTCTCTTGGCTGTTACCAGGCCTTTCTCTCATGATGCCTGGGTTGACCCTGAATTAGCAATTGTTAGGTTAAGAGCAGAGAGTAAATTATTTTCACTGCTCAGGAACTTTCAACTGAACTACAGCTTCACTCTTTTGCCCTTTGGAATATCACAGTCAGCCTGATTCCAAATTTAAACTTCCTGTACTGTTTCTGAGGGGGAAAAAACCAAAATCACAGAGGTGGATTCAAAAGATGAATGATCCCAGATAGCTCTGAGAATGTTAACATTATATATGATGTTTTAACAGTATGGAGAAATGCTTATTTTATAGAGAAAAGGGGAAATTTAAAAAAAGCTCCTCAAAAAATGGAATCACACAAGCTGTTTCCTGCACTGCATCTGTTTGGTTCCAGGGCCACAGTCGGGTCTGCAGAAATAACTTGAGTTGGTGGCTCAGAGTATGTAGCTAGAATCCAAGAAGACTTACACTTGAATGTGAACAAGGATACAGGTGGTTCCTGAGTTTAAGAGAGCAGGAACTCAAAGGGAGGCCCTGAATGAAAAAGGTATAATGCTTTTAGTTGGTCAGCAGTCCAAGTTGACCAATCCAGAGGCACCTCCATAAAAGGTCTGGTGAACTTCTCCCTAATGACCAAACAGTGGACACTCTATGGACCACACTTCTATTCTGACACACAGGCCTGCTGTGCTGAAGGCCAGGAGTCAATCATGGAAGCACACTGCCCCTTAAAGTACGATGAGGGATGTTTCCTACATTGCAACAGGCCTGTGTCTGGGCCATAGTCTTCTCCCCTTTCAAGTGACCTGCTGCAGGGTACCATCCCATTAACTAGGCCTGCCCACCTGCAGATGTTGTCAATGGCAATGTCACGTAGCTGCTCATACATGGATGGCTGGCTCTTCTTCCCCGGCATGACGTTCAGGGTTGACTCAGAATGCTCATTGGTTACGCTGATTTTGATGTCATTGTCAGCAACTACGCATAAATCCAAGCACACATCTGGTCACTTTCCATCCCCTCTTATTCTTTGGAAACTGAGGATATGCTGGTCACTTCTAGTTTATAAAAGCACACACCCTAAAGACATCCTGAGCCAACAGAAGGGTCGATACAAGCATGTTCAAATTAAAAGGAAGAATACTGAGATGAAAAAGGGGCCAATGCACACCTATGTTTACTGCTGTGTTGTTCACAATAGCAAAGAGATGGAAGCAACCTAAGTGCCCATCAACAAATGAATGGGTAGAGAAGCTCAGGTATATTCACACAATGGAATACTATGCTGCATTGAAAAACAAGGAACTCATGCAATATTATTCAAAATGGATGACCCTGGAAGACACTATGCTGAGTGAAATATCTCAGTCACAAAAGGACAAATACTGCATAGTGCCACTATTGTAAAATGGGACTGACATTGGAGTTGAGGGAAGACCGAAAAGGAGGGGAGGAATGATGTATATTGCATTAAAATAGATGAGGAGGAGAACTGTTTAAAAGGGATGTATGAATGGGTATTCTTGTCATTACAGAATTCCAGAGTGAAGGCTGCATAATGGAGTGGACTTGGGGGGAGGGATTGCTTAACAATGAAAGAGTTTTTATTTTTCTTTGCAAGAAGAGTGAATTGCAGGGTAGGGGTGGGCAGGGAGAAAAGTGCAACAGTGAATGACTGGAAACCTTAATTCTCTTAAAATAATAAAATAAAGGAAAAGAAAAGAAAAAGTGAATGGGGGTGGGTAGGAAGCAAAATGCAATAATGAATGAATGGAAATCCAAGTTTTCTGTAAACTTTCATTAAAATCACTAAAACTATTTTATAGTTTTTATAAAACAAAAAACTATTAAAAAACAAAAGAAGAAAAAGTGGCCAAAACAGGGGCCACAGGAATCCAGCACCAACTCCAAAGGAGCCAGAATTAAGTCTGGGGCTAGGCCTGTCCCAGCTAACAAGAGTGCTAATGTGCACAAGGCCAGTGAGGGCAGAGGAGGGCAGAGAGCAGGGGCCCTTCATGGACTATGGGGCTTGGGGCAAGTCCTTCAGTGGCTTAGAGCTGGGGTTTCTTCATTTGAAGGGCAAGGCCAGGTGCTTTTCTGGCATGTGGTTAAGAGGAGTGCCCCAACAAGAGGCCCACCATCTGGCAAGTGCTTAGTGCCTATGAGCAGTACGCTGGCCAAACCTGCTCTCAGTCAGTCTCTGATCTCTAGAAGTCTCAAAGTGGTCTTGGGCCAGGTGAGGCCAAGTCCTTGGCCCGGTGTCCTGGACACTAAATACCCCTATTCAGACAACCTCCAGTGGTCAGAGACCCCAACAGGAGCTGGAGCTGCAGAGGCCTCTAGCGGCAGCAGGGATAAAGGCCTGGGGAAGCCTGGCAACCCAGAGAGTCCGCATGCAGGGCAGAGCAGACAGCATCAGTGCAGCATGTATAGCTATCAGCCTTTGCTGATCCCACACAAGGTCAGGGGGTCTTGTTCTTAGAGCCCTGGGGGCCCATGGGGTAGGGGTGGGAGGGTGTGTGAGATGAATGAGAAAGGGATACTCTGGTTACCTGTGTGGTACTGACTGTGGTACTTATAGAGCTTCACCAGCACCGGGGATGGGATGACCAAAAAGTCTCGCAGCGATGGCGTCACCGAGTGCACCACCACTGGGAACCTCTCACACAGGCGGCCCAAGCCCTGCAACACAGGACCCACCGGTCACAAGGCCCCAGAGTCCTGAGCAACAAGGTGCTCGATTCCTCCCAAGGGCCCAAGTTCCACCCAAAACATCCAAGGTCCCAGTTCTGAGGGACCATCTCCCCATGAAGCAAAAAGATAGAAAAAGGGAACAGCCTTAACTTCGCTCCACTAAGCAGGGGTTAAGTATTGTTAATGTGCACTCATTTCTCCTGGAAGCAAAATAGAGACAGGGAACACAAAATGGGATTTTTAAACAAAAGCAGGTATGGAGTCACCTGGATGGACAATAAGCGTTTCAACAGAGCAGAGCTAAGAGCTATGAATGATGCGGAGCCTCTGACCCTGTGGCCTACTAACAACACCTGTGCACCTGGGACCCTGGAGGGACCAGGGGCTGTCATAAGGTCAGACCACATTCGAAGCCCACGAGTTGCGAATCCCAGGGCTGCAGGCTCGGCCTATGCTCAGACTACCGAGTCTCTGCTATGCCATGGAGGGCCCCAGTCACAGCCCCGGCAATCTAACAGGAACTCCAGCTGGCAGTGTAAGCACAGGGTGACTCACCTGCAAACAGCAGATTAACAAGGGCAAGTGAGCGATGATAACTTTGCTGGACGTCTTGGACTGCAGCTTTTCAGACAGCTTAATGCAAAGATTTTCTGCACCTGAATGCCAGGTCAGAGGAGAGATGAGAAGTTAGCAAAGCCTGAAGGTGATAAATTACTTTTAACCCATTAGCCAGCTACCATGGTGCTGATCCCACAGAGGGTGAGCTCATGTTTCAGGGCAAGGCTGTACTCCATCAGGTGTCCTATAGCTTGTTTTTCAGCCCCTGACTGCCAGCCTTTCCCCTGAGGTGCCTCTGGGAAGACTTCTGGTTAGCAGCCAAACACAACAACCATTTGTAATGGCCTAGTGGTAAGAAGCTACACTGCAATTCCAAAAGCATGTGGTTCGAATCTCCCAGCAACTATGCAGGAGAAAGATGTGCTATATTCTCCTGTGGGACTTACTGCTTCTGAAAACCCACTGGCAGGTGAGCAATGAGTCAATTCCAACTCCTGCACACAACCACCACCACCCAAGGACCCTCATAGAATACGAAGCGCTGCCGTGGAAGTGGCTGTGACTCACAACAGCCCTGCCTGGGTTCCAAGCACTGTCAATCTTTATGGGAGCAGACAGATCACTCAGTGTGAAAGGAGATTCGACTTAGCGACTTCATGGTTATCAGAGACTGATACATTACACTCCATGATACCATGGCTCCACAAAATCCTATTCACAATGAAATCATATAATTCAGGGAAGCCATCAGAAACCTTTCAAGATAGGCATCCTCACTGTGTGAATGAAACACTTGGCTACATCATGTCCCACTACTCTCGCCTCTCCTTACCTGAAACCTCCGCCCTCCAGGACCCTACCGAGAACAGACATTTCACAAATCTTTGTTGCTACTTTAGATCCTGCAGGCTGCCCTGCTGTTGTTCACTGTCAAATTAACCTTGGCGGGGTGAAAATGCTCAGCTGGGACAGCAAAAGTTCAGTAAGAGGGACCTTAGAGAAAGGTTTGGCAATCTCTCCTAAAAACAAGACACTAGTAAGTTATTAGTTTTTAAAATCAGTACTTTTAAAAATTTTTTTTAAAATTTCTTTATTTTTCATTTCAATGAACATCTACAGAGATTTTGGAATTCCATTCATTCATTGTTGCACCCCTCTCCCTGCCCCTCCACCCCCCTTAAAATTTTTTTTTATTACTTTGTGTGTGTACCGTCAAATCAGATCTGACTGGTACAGGAGGAGATTGTCCCTCCTTCTCCAGCAGAACATCTGGTGGATTTGAACCATGCACCTCTGCGATTGCAGTGCCGCTTCTTGCCACTAGGCCACCAGAGCTCCCTAAAAATCAGTACTTTTTAAATGGAAACTTGACCAAAAATTTGTCACAGAATTTTGAGACCCATTAAAACAAGTTCAATGAGAAAAACAAAGAAAACCAAAACCAGCCAGTGAACACCAAGAGGGCCAGCTGTCCTTTGACACTTCATCTCCAGCAATCAGCACCAGCTTGCTGGCAAATGTTTTCACTTGGCCTAGTAAATTGGCTCCTCCAGTTCTGAGCTTCCTTTTTTCCATAGAGAAGAATAAGAAGTAGTGGGTAGAGAGCCCACAGGACCTATAAGCACATCACCATCCTCTCCAGGGCTTGTTTGGCAAGAAAGGCCACTGGGCCTGCTGACACTTTAAGAACAACTATGGGGTGCCCAGCTTGGACAACCAGCTGTCTGCAATGCCAAGTGCCTGGCTCACTCACCCTGCTCGTCCTTCACAGCCCACACCATGAGGTCTACACAGGCAGCGTTGGCCTGGCAGCGCAGCTTGAGGGGATTGAGCTCGTTGTGGATCCGGTCTGCATCGTGCAGAATCTTCTGGAGCTCTCCCTGACTAGTGTTGAATTGTTCCAGCACAAAATCATGGATTTCCTTCACAAAGGAGGTTGGGAGGTCTGCAGAAAGGAGAGTCTGTGGTCACAGCCAGGAAAGGCACTACGCCAAATCGTAGACAGTGGTGGTGTGTGCCCAAGGCCTCTCCCCTCCCAAACCACAGCCCAGGTGGGGGGCGTCTGCTGCCAGCAGGGGTGCTTCTGAGGACATCCGCAGGGAAGGGCATGGAGGGACTGTACAAAGTGTCTTCTATATAAATACTTACTGGCAGGCAGAGGAGATAGCCATTTGCCAGGGTTTTGAAAGCCAGTCTTTGTTTTAAACAGTTAATAAGCTCAAATATGAAGTTATGAAACACTTAATTTAGGATATATCATTAGGACTGATTGAAGTGACAATGGGAAATGCTTCAGTGATGTTAAACACAGATGACAATGTTAAAAGATTATTAACAGGTATAAGACCCAGGTAAAAGCTGGCTGCAGCCTATCCAGATGGATTCCCATCCCTTAAGGCTACACTTCTGCTGCATCTACCACTGGCAGCCTTTCCCAAGTCTCATCACCGGGGCCTGAGAGTCAGAAGAACCATAGAAGTAATTCAAGTCAGAACCAGCCAAGAAACCCCAAAAGCCCTGGAGGCTTCTCCTTACTGAAAACCCCGTCACCCTGACCAGCCCCTGCCTCTGCCAATCATATTGGAGAATGGCAGCGCACTATGCATGTGATGATCAAAACATATGCTGACAACTAGCTAAGTCAGGTGAAGAGGAAGGTAATGCACAATGAGGAGTTGGTCAGACATTGTAATTAATGAAGTCCATTAATTAAGTACAAGTTATGCTATAAAACAAAACGCAATATTGAATGAAAAATCAATGACTTTAAACCTTTACTCAAATATAAGTATACATATATACGTATACAAATATAATGAAATAAAACCAAGTTGATACAGTATCTCAAAACCAAAAGTGTGTAACAGAGAGACTGGAAGAAATCACAAACTTTGCAGGTGTGTGCTAACTTATTAAGATGCAATTTCTGAGTTGTATAATCCTAAATGATGCCTCATTTCCTTATTAACATTCTTAAGAATCGATGCCTTCGGACTGTGGTGCTTAAGAAGAATCTTAAATATATCACGGACTGCCAAGAAAACAAACAGGTCTGCCTTGGAGAGGATGAAACCAAGTTTCTCCTTGGAGGCTGGGATTTCGAATCTCCACCTCACATACTTTGAGCATGTGGCCAGGAGGGACTGGTCCTTGGAGAAGGACATCATGCTCAGAAGGGTGGAGGAACATAGCAGAAGAGGAAGTCCCCGGATGAGATGGATTGATACAGTGATTGGGGCAATAGGGATAGATGTGTTGGAATCAGTGAGACTGGCTCAGGACAGGGCAAGCTTCAGAGCTGTTGTAAAAAGGGTACCTATCTATGATTTACAGGCAACTCAACTGGCACAGAACAATAACAACAATACATGTATAAATATATAATGAAATAAAACCAAGTTGATACAGTATCTAAAAAAAAATAATGCACAACAGAGAGACTGAAAAGAAGCACAAACTTTGGGGGGGGGGTGTTAACTTATTAAGATATTACTTCAGAGTTGTACAATCCTTAGTGGTGTCTTATCTAACATTCCTAAAAGGCCCAGTTCTTGGAGAAGGACCTTATGCTGGGAAAGGTAGAGGGTCAGTGTAAGAGAGGAAGACTCTTCACAAGATGAACTGACACAGTGACTGTACAAACAGGCTCAAGTGTTACCAGAGATGGTGAGGACGGCATGGGATAAGACAGGGTTCAGGGCTGTTGTTTATGGGGTCGCTAAAGTACTGTAACAAAACAATAACAAAGCAGACATGTAAAACTATATCCCACAATAAAAAAAAATGCAACGTATGTTATAAAAACACTTAAGGGAGATCCCCTTCAAAGCCATCACCAATAATATTGGGTGGCAGGCTCAGGGCAGATTTTAAATTTTGCCAATATTTATTGTTTGCTGTTTTGTTGAACTTTGCTATTGTGGCTGGGGTGAGACGATGTTTCATAGTTGTTTTTATTTACATCTCTCTGATAGCTAGGGATTTTGAACATTTCTACATGTGTGTGTTTGCCATCTGAATGTCCTTTTTGATGAAGTGTCTGTTCATATTCTGTGCCCATTTTGCAATCAGGTTGTTAACCTTTTTCTGGTTGAGGTGCTAGAGCATTTTATAAATTTTATTTTCTTACCAGATATAAGGGTGGATAGATAATGAACATTGCACTGGAACAGATGAAGGAAAGATGTGTTTAAAATGAACATATGACTAGGCATTATATGTATGGCAATAGTCCTGAATAAGAGGCATACTGCAAAAGGGACAGGGCGGCGGGGAGGGATAGGTAATTGTGCAACAATGAATGAATATTTTAAAACAATCAAAAAAGTGAACTGGGAGGGGGATGAGGAAAGAAGGGAGAGTAAAGGGATAAAAATGTGTAACAATTAAAGAATGAAAATCTAATTTTCTGTAAACTTTTGCTTAACACATTGCTGCACACTTTTTAAACTGACGACCATGCTTTGAAACACATTTGCCGTCATTTGCGGCAACGTGTTAAAATCACAATTTAGATAAAAAATGTCATAAAAAAAATTCAGTTGTTCAGTATCTTATACACACGGTGCACATGGCTCCAGCAGGGCCTGGAGCCCAGCCTCCCTGCACTGGATGGGGGTGGCGCGCGCGCGCGCGCGCGCACACACACACACACACACAGCATTCACACATGGGATTCTTCGCATGCGTATTCCTCACCCTTCATGTAGTACAGGGTGTCTCGCAGCATCTTGAACACGGCCACATAGAGTGGGTCACTGAAGGTGGAGTAGTGGAGATCCATGCTGGGGCTGGCCTGCAGAGAATGAAACATAGGCTGGACGCCCATTCCAGCCCCCTCTCTTGCTCAGACCCAGTAAGTTAGTTGACATTCATGATGGGGTCACCCATCATGAATCATCACCTGAATAGTAACATCATGCTCTTTATCTTATTGGCACCAGGCAAGGGACACAGGTGGTTTGTGTGGCCGGCGTACACAAACCCGGTGGAGGGGTAGACACTTGCCCCCCAGGGAAGCAACATCTTTCCATCCAGAGATAAAGTCACCTGTGGCCTGAGTGGGATGTGGCAAGTGCAAGAGGAGGCAGGAGACAAGGAGATGCCAGGTCGGACACCAAGACACCCACCTGACCTGGCAGCCAGGGCACCTCAGCTGCCAGGTAATGATGAAAATGCACTGTAAAGTATATTTCAGCAGTGTGGTTTAAAACATAGTACTATTTCCTCTGTGGGAAAATACGTGTAAGGCCAAGAGAGCTGAGTAACTTGACTGTATCATTCAGTTCATTAGGATGAAAAAGTTGTGGTTCACTCGGATTGCTGACAATACCAGATGTGACATACGGCAAAGGTTCTGTGCACAGATGGGGGTGATGAGGAGGCATGTGGGCTGAGGGGCACAGGGTTGGTGTGGGCGGGGTGTGTGGGCAGAACAAGCTGGGTCTAGATGGACACTGCGGAGAGATGTACTCAGGGAGGGAATAGTGTGGGAGCTGTTCCATGCACTCCCCAGATATGATGCAGTCCTCTCAAGTCTTGCACATGAAGGAAGCATCCAGAGGGGAGACCGCGTAGGGCCTGACTACAGAGCCAGGAGTCAGAAGACTGGCAAAAAACAGACAGGAGATAGAAATGCTGCTTGGGGAACTGTGAACTGCTAGAAATCATGTCCCAGCCTCCTTACTCACTGGTGTTTGTGGAAAGGTCTTTAATCTCCCAAGGGACTGCTGGTGGCTCAGTGGCTAGGAACTGCACTGCCAACTCAAAAGTATGTGGCTCAAGTCCACCAGTTGCTCTATGGGAAAATGACAGGCAATCTCCCCAGCGATTTATTGCCTCTGAAAATTGGCTGGAGAGTAAGCTACTTCACTGGGCAGTTCCAACTCAATAGTACACAAGCACCACCATCACCCTCAGTGAGTCTGTTAGCAACTGACTGAAGGTGTATATGTATAACATACTATGCATTTTAATAATACAATGAAAACTCCTCTTTGCCCTGGTCCCACACTAGCTCTGCCTGAATTTACCCAGAGGACACTGACCTCACTGGGGGGCCCCTGACTGGGGTCTTACCTCTGTGATGCTGGCTATGACAGCATCCAAGGACTTGAGCACAGGCTCTTCCACAATTTTCTTCACCTGACAAGGAAACAGCTTCATGAGCAACTGATACACACACCAACAGACAGGAGGGTGGGCTCCTTATTCCAAAGCTCTGAGCAAGCTCATGGAGAACATAGAACAAGTCTACAAGCAAAACACATATTTAGATGCCATGGAGTCACCTCCAATTCCACGTGGCAGAGCAAAACTGCTACACAGAGCTGTCCAGACAATGAAGTTGAAGAAGCAGATGGTCAGACTTTTCTGCTAAAGCACCTATGTTTTTAGGTGCGGTCGAGTATGACTCAGAAAACCCGTAAACAGATGTGAACCCCGTCCTATCCTGTGTCATCCTCACAATCTCTGACACAACTGAGCCATTGCTGTAGTCACTGGGTCAAATCTGGCTGATGGTCTTCTTCTCTTTCGCTGACCCTCCACCTTCCCAATCACATCCCTTTTCCAAGAACTGGTCTCTCTTAACAACATGCCCAAAGTATGTGAGACGAAGCTTCATCATCTTTATCTCCAAGGTGCACTCTTGTTGAACATTCTCCAAGACATTTGTTTGTTCTTTTGGAAAGTCCATGGGATATTCAGTCCTCTTCTCCAACCACAATTCAAAGGCCTCAGTTTTTCTTGTCATCTTTATTCACTGTCCAGATCTCAGAAGCATAGCAAATGCCTGACTCATAGCCTGAGTCAGGTGCACCTTAGTCTTCAATTTGATATCATTTCTCTTCAGTACCTTGGAAAGATCCTTCACAGTATACTTTCCCAATACAGTATCTCTCCTGATCTCCTGACTGCTGGTACCAAGAGTGATGGTCATAGATTTAAGGAAGAAGAAATCACGGACAGTTTCAATCTTTTCTCCATCTATCATGATGCTGTATACTGATTGGCCCAGTGGTGAAGATTTTTGTTTTCTTTATGTTGAGATAACATCAACAAAGTATCTAAGGCAGTATTCTTTGATCTTCTGCAGCAAGTGTTTCAAGTCTTTCTCATTTTTAGCATGGTTGTGTCATCTACATTAACCCAAGCTGATGATGACCTTTTGTTGTTAGGTGACACTAACAGCGACTCTTATGAATTGCCAACTTAAACCCTGCCCTATATTGTGCTATTCATTATCTCTGACACACGTGAGCCCACTGCTGAAGTACCCATATCAATCCATCTTGTTGAGGGTCTTCCTCTCCTTCACTGACCTTCTATCTTTCCAAGGAATAGTCTCTGCTAACAAAATGCACAACGTATGTGAGACAATGCTTCATCATTTTTGCCATCAAGAAGCTCCCTAGCTGCACCAAGACACATCTGTTGGTTCTTTTGGCAATCCACGGGATATTCAGTACTCTTCTTCAACACCATAGCACAAAGATCTCAGTTTTTCTTTTATCATCCTTATTCATCAATTCTTCACCCTTATTAATTGTTCGGCTCTCAGAGGCACAGTAGTGAGTGAAAAGAACATGATACATTTAGGTTCTCTATAAACCCAAGCCATTCTTTCTTTGGTCCCATACAATGCAGACTCTACAGGAGGTACAGTGAAGGGTACTAGGCTGTGCCCTGCCTCCCCACACAGTGATCAGGAGGATTAAATGAGAAAGAGTTGCACCCTTCTCTTCCTTAATCTGCACATTTATGACTTGGGAATTGTAATCTGAAATACTGGTACTCCACATTTCCCTTTTAAGAAATACAGGCTTTGACCACTATCGCTTTTGATTAGCATACAAGCAATCTTACAGTCACTCTCTGCTTACCAAGTTTAAAAGTTCCCGTAACATTTCTAGTGGAATACTGAATTCCTTATAGGTAACGCCATTGAAAAGGGGAGAGACTGAGAAACTGGAGCTGATGGTGGAGAAGTAGTAGTCTGGCTCCAGGGCACTGCCGTCAGGTAAGCAGGAGACTGAGGGAGGAAGAGAAAACAGGATCAATTGTAGTCACAGATGCCTGGGCAGCTCCCCTATTAGGAACAAAAGCCCAGAGGTTGTCCTTGACCTCTCTCCAATCCCATGCCCCCAAGCCTGCTTTTTTTTT